GGGCGGCCGTCCCCACCCCCGGAACCTGGTCTCCGGTAAGCCGGGGGGGAGGCGGTACCGCTCCCGCTTCACCGACTGGGTGGCGGAGGTTGGCGGGGGAATGGGGAAGCGGCTTGCGTGGACCTGCCCCGCCGGCGGACGGCCCGGGCGGCCCCTCCCTCGGCTAGCCTTCCCTCCCTAGTGTCCCGCGCCTAAAAGCCACCAGATGAGCCCGGGATATTCCGAACCGTCTCTTGTCCATCACTCCCGCTGTGCTAAGAGCTGCTCGGAAGCACTGTGGCGGACATTCATTCGTTTCACCCGTAACAACCCTCTGAGGTGGGTGCTGTTGTTATCCCGCTTGTATGCACGAGGAAACTGAGGCTTGTGCTAGTGCACGGTCACAGCCAGTGGGTAGCAGAAAAGAGCAAAGCGTTCTGCAGGGGTGTCGTTTTAAACAGATCTCATTTAATGTCACTTTTGTACAGTGTGAAGGCTCATAGTGCCTAATAATTATTGAAAACATCTAGCCATTGCCTTGCTAGACTCTGGTTTGGCCGTGTGCTCTTTGAGCTGTGGCTGTCGCCATGCTTCCTGACTTTGCCCCCTCCCCCACCTCGGGGAGGTGAATCTCTCTCTCTCATTTACTTTCAAATAAGCTGTATTTTCTAATATTAAAAAGAAAGAAAGAAAACATCTTCCTTAGGTTTTGTAAGTAACCAAATTCGTATGTGGGACACAGCCCACAAATATGTCGTGGTTTGCTCTCCTCTTGTCCTTCCTCACGTTCCCCTCTTCTCATCCTTTTCCTCACCATCTCCCAATCTTCTCCTAGGTTTTGGGAGGAGTATGGCATGAGAAACCAAGGACTTGAGGCCAGCAAGTGCTTAGAATCCACTACGGGATGGGAGCGGGATGTATTCTCCCTCTTCCCCCAGTGCAGGAGGTGAGAGGAGAGGGGCTGGTGGGCCTGGGCGGGGTGAGGACTGAGAAAGGTCTGACATAATTATGGAGTGCCCAAGGTGGGATGAGACAGGCACAAGAGAAACAGAAGAATGGCCCTTTCCTTCTGGGCATGCACGTGGGAAAGGGTTGGAGAGAGAGGTGAGAAGAGAGTCTCTGATTTATTGCACCAGTGTTTAAGTGCTGAGGGGCTTTCCGTCTCGGGCTGAGCTGGAAGATGGCTCACTCAGCAAGTTGTTGCCTTTACAGATGAATCAGTAGTCTCTCAGCCACGAGCTGCCTTGGTTCCCTGCCCCAAGGCACTGGCGGCTTATCTGCCATCAGACTCATCCTACTTACATTGTGAGAAAAAAACAAGATTCTTTCCCTGCCTCCCAAGGCTAGTCCTCCACCACTGGACCCTGGTTCCCTTTCTCTCCGGAAGCTCCTCTCCTCCTTTTGCCTTCTCTTCTCTCTGTTTGGAGACATGGCCAGACATTCCACCCTCACTGCCTGACCCACTGAAGTGACCTCTCATCCTGTTGACCACTCTTTTCAGGAAGGTCTCTTCCCTTGGTTTCCCTAACCTCCTTTGGTTTTTCTTTGTCTCTCCCCTTTGCCTCTCAGTCATCTTTGAGATCTGCTTGTTCTCTACCCTCCCTGTATGGTCAGCATCACCTGGACAGCCACCCTCTACCCTCTTGTGGCGTTTTCCTTCAGTTTCTCTGGAAACTTGCCTGAAGATTTGTTCCCAAAGAACCTTAAACTAAGTGTATCCCAAACTGACCCTTATGAGTAAAGGGGATCCCTTCCTTCCCCATAGAGCGACTCAAGCATGATCCCAGGAGTGGGCTGTCAGGAAACAAGATAGGGAAAAATCCCTGCCTACTGCGGTGAGATTTCCTCAGAAGCTGGGGGTTAGAGGATTAATCTGGTCTCATGCAAAATTATTTTGCTCCAGCATGGGAAATGTTATTACCTATCCTTAAAGAAGAAAACGACTTTCCTGTCCAGACCACTTTCAAGACCTGGAGATTCTGCGGGTGGTGCCTCAGATGATGGATGCTGGTTTCAGGGTGATGTCCCCCAGCAGCTCTCACTTGCCAGGGTGTGCTTGGAGTTCCTTTGCCTCGCCCCTTCCTCCGCCAAGAGGGTAGACTGGGTGATGTTGTGAATCCTGGCCTGAAATATCAACCCACCCTATCGCCACTGTCTCCACTCTGCCCATGGATGCCTGCCGCTTGAAACTTCTTGCTAGCAAAATAATAGCCCCCACCCCTGTGACTCAAGTCTGCACATCCAGTTACAAGGCAGCAAGTGCTGTGGGCCTCTTCCTCTGGAAAGTAGGCTGTTTTCCCTGTGCATCGGGGGCCTGCTGGGCCTTCAGTAGACAAGTGGACATGTGGCTGATGCTCTGGCAGAAGTGGAACTTCTTGGGCTGCGGAGGCAGCTTGCATTCCTCTCATGATGGTCTGGAGCGTTAGAGTTGTAGCACACACCTGTCTCCTTTTGATCTGTGCTTCTGCATGTTCTTCCCCTTTGGCCTCCTCTATCTGCCGGGACAGAACACCCACCCCAGGTCCTGTGACATGATAGGTTCCAGGCCCTTGGCAGCCTTCTTGAAGGTGAATTCTCCCACCTCCCCCTCCTTCAGTCTCCGGAAGCCCTCCTTGTGCAGTTGACTCAGGTACACTAAGACATCCACCACATGATCAAGCATGACCCTGGTGCGGGTGGTCATGAAAAGGAAGCTGAGCCCCATGTGCATGTTAAACCCCTTTAGATGAGTACAGTGCTGTGGCTGTAGCTCATCCACTGCCTGGGCTGTGTCCTCTGCCTCCTTGGTGCAGCTACCTGCAAACTGCCAGTTGGACACAGAGCCTGTGGCTCATGTTGAAGAATCCAGAGACCAAAGGGCCAGGGTTTCATTCTTAATCTGTTTAATTGACTTTCAGATATTTGCAGTAGGATTATGAGGTCATCTTTCTCTGAGTCTTCTCCAAGGAAACACACTTGCCAGGTTCACTAGTTCACTGTGCTTTTCCTTCCCTGTCATTTTATTTTCTTCCCTCTACCTATTTCTCATCTGGCTTCTTCGTGTTTCTTTTCTTTTTAGAGGCTTGAATTTGACCCATTTTCTAGGAAAATGAATTAGGGGGAAAGGAATTGAGGATTGTGTCTAAGGTTGGGTCTTGAGCATCGGGTGGCTGGGCATCCCGTTTTCCCATGTTAGGTTGACTGCAGGAAGAGCAAGTGGGGAAGCCTAAGATGGGGGTGAGCCAGGAACAGCCTGGCAATGGTCAGGACATAGATGGCAACCAAGTCACAGGGGAAGGGAAATCTTCCTGGAAATTGGGTCAGTTGAGAGCAGAGGGCCTACAGGGGCAGACAGGAGAAGTGGGACCAGAAGAGAGGAGCAGAGGTGAGAGGAAGACCAAAAAAGTAGTGTCTGGGGTCCAGGGAAAGCAATGATTCAAAGGAAGAAAGAGGGAAGGACTTCAGGAAAGTCCATTTGAGTAAGTGACAGTGATCACTGTGGACCTTCACAGGCGCCATAAAAGAGTTGGTTGCAAGGGGAATGGGAGGTGAGAAAGTATAAGAACCCTTCCAGGAGTTTCTCTGTGACAGAAAGGAGAATGAGAGGATCCTGGGGGCCTGAGAACACTTCAGCCCCCCGTGCAGCTAGAGAAGAAGGAGGTGCCCAGGCAGAAGTCATGGGGATAGAGAAAGGTAGAGGAGCAGGCAGGAAAGAAGCTGAGGTTCTGGTCACTCAGCTCTGGCCAAGCCCCTTCTACTCCAGCTCTGCCCCAGACCCTCTCTCAGACTCCAGTCCTGTCACATGGCCAATTCTGACAGGTTGGAGGTAAACCCATCTAGTGAGAATGAGGCAGCAAGGCAAGCCAACATCCTTAGAGTCTGCCTGGCTGGAGAGGTTCAACACCTCAGGAAGTGGAAGAAAAAGCATTTGCTTCCTGGCATAAGGGAGAAGATGGGGACCCAGCCGGATCTCCAGGAGCCCTCTTTCTTGAAAAAGCTGGTCAGAGCTATCAAAGCAGAGAGCAAGGGCTTAGATTCCGCCTAGCATTTCCTGGATCCTCTGCATGCCACAGGTCCCAAAGGCCACACTGGATGTGGGACAGTTCTTTACTGCAGACCGCAAGAATATCTGCCATCTCGTTTGCATTTTATGTCACGCTACTGTCAAACAGGCCAAATTTAAGGAATGAGTCGAACCTCAGGCCTCTTCTTTTTTCTTTCCTTTTTTTTTTTGTCTCATTCTGTCGCCCAGACTGGAGTGCAGTGGCACGCTCCCGGCCACCGCAACCCACGACCTGCTGGGCTCCGGCGATCCTTCCGCCTCAGCCTTCCAAGTAGCCGGAATTACAGGCATACGCTACCATGCCCAGCTGATTTTTTGATTTATTGTAGAGATGAGGTCTCGCTGCCCAGGCGGGTCTCGAACCTGCGGACTCAGGCAATCCACTCACCTCAGCCTCCCAAAGGCGTGGGATTACAGGCTGAGCCACCGAGCCCGGCTGCTATTGTATTTTTAACTTCAAATTCTACTTCATTGCTTTGTATACTATTTTAATTCCTATTTTATGATTGAGAAAATTGGTATTTAGCAAAGTCAGGTATGTTACCTGAGGTTGAACCACTAGTACAACAAGTGCCTTTTCTAATTCCTTCCACCCATCCATCTATTCATTTGCCCATTTATCAATCAGTTTTTTATTGAACTTCTGCTATACGATAGACACTGTTCGAGGGCTGGGAAAACAATGGGGAGCAAAACATTGTGTGTCCTCATGCAGCTTACATTCCAATGGGGGAATGACTTTTGATAAATATGGCCAGGCTCATGCCTCTAATCTCAGCACTCTGGGAGGCTGAGGTGGGAGAACTGCTTGAGCCCAGGAGTTCAAGACCAGCCTAAGCAACATAGCGAGATCTCAACTTTACAAAAAAAAATTTAAAAATTAGCCAGGTGTGGTGGTGCCCACGAGTTTTACCTACCTGGGAGGCTGAGGGGCAAGGATTGCCTGAACCCAGAAGGTGGAGACTGGTAAACTGTGATCATGCTACTGCACTCTAGCCTGGATGACAGAGTGAGATCCTGACTCAAAAGTAAACTAACAAGCAAGCAAACAAGCAAACAAACAAATAAATGTGTGAAATTGATAGCATGTTCTCCAGTGGTAAGAGTGATGAACACTTTTATTTTAGAAAGTAAAGCAGGGAAGGGCACAGTCTCTGTATGTGTGTATACAGCTGTATCTATCTATATCTAAATATACAGATACTGTAATTATAAAGGGCCTCACCAAGAAGAGGTTAAAAAACTTCACGGAGATGAGGGAGGCAGCCACGCCTGGGATATGTGGTCTAGGCCGAGGAAGCAGCATGTGTAAAGCACAGGACAGGAGTATGCCTGGTGTGTTTAAGAAACCGCGAGGATTCCAGTGTTACTGGCATGAGGTAAGTAAAATGGAGAGTC